TATTAATGAATTTTTAGGCTGCATGTAAACGTGGCTAATAATCCGATCATAATCGGATCTCTGCAGTTATCTGATTATTCAAATGGTCATGTAAACACCATACTCTGATCTAGAAATCTGATTAAGAAATCCGATAAAGAGGCTGGATTTAGGCTCAGTAATCAGATTTCTCAGCGCATGTAAACTCTTACTCTGATTTCTTTCAGATTTCTCAGTCTGCACATGTGCGAGATCAGACAGCAGTACCGGAAGTAAGCGAGCAGCGCCGCCGCAAGACACAGCAAAACACTATTAGAGCGACAGTAAAAAAAAAAAACACAAAATAAAGAATTTAAATATTCATCTTCTAGATGATGTGTGTTCATATTTTCAGGTAAAGTCGTGCAATTTAAAAAAAAAAAGCCGCGGTATGAAGTTTGAGTTTTGCATTACATTATGTCTTCTTCTGTGAGTCTATTGAACGGTTGCAAATCAGACCCGGGGTTTTCCCATTATCTGATTACTCAAGAGCATGTAAACAGATTTTCTGCAGCGATCAGATTATTAAGTTCATGTAAACACACTCACTAACAGAAGTTAATTTAAATGAGCTATGTAAAAGCCTGCTGGCTGCCACTGGACTAATTATTTAGCTTGTGACCATTTCCCGGTTTCAGCAGACGTCTGTGGGGCGGCGGGTTCTGTGTTTAGACGTGGAGTAGCGATAGCATCATCATAAGCACATTAAGGTGATGACTACCGGGAAGAACACAATACGGCTCAAACAGATAAACATGACTGACACGACAGCAAAGTGCTTCTGTCTGGGTTTCTAAATGTCACCAAGACCCCACACTGTGATTGTTCCTTACCTGAGATAAAACAGAGACTCCACACGTCTTATTAAGACAAATGAGGCAAACGGAACACTCAGACGGTGTAATGTGGATCACGGTTCTAACTGCTGTGTCGGTATCACGTAGATCTTTGTGGAAAACAGTGTAATTATTGCCTGTCAGACCGAACGTCACACAAAATAACGCTCTTTTATGTTAAGGTCCTTTGCAGGAGCAGCAGCAGATGAGATGTTTATGATCTGGTTTCCGATGTACACACCTAAAAAAGATGGTTCTTCAAGGGTTCTTTACTAAAGAAAATGTTTCTATATAGAACCTTGAACTCTCAAAGAACACTGCATGATTAAAGGGTTCTTTGTATCATGAAGATGTTCTTCACATTGATGGAGAGTGTGCTGTAGATGGTTCTTTTTTGGGAAGGGTTCTATATAGCACCAAAAAGGGTTCTTCTATGTCAGGTGGTAGAAGGAGCCTGAAGAAATTAGATTCATCACTTCATTCAGGAGCTGAAACTTTTAACTAGATTTAACTAGATGTTCGTAGCTCAGTTCGAGTCCCATTTTGCTGCTTTTGGAGAATCTGATACCCCCGACTACTGTGAAAAACTTCTAGTTACTGGGACGTCATCCTAGTCGTTGCCATGCCAACAGGCCACCATAATTGGCCAATGAATCGAAAAATCATGTTCGTGTACAAGATACTGTCATACATGTGTTCCAATTCATTTACTCATGCTGTGGTTGGTACAGTGTGGTGTAGTGGGTGACACCTCTGCCTTCTACACTGTAGACTGGGGTTCAGTCCCCTGCCTGGGTAAACACTCTACACTATACCAATAAGAGTCCTTGGGCAAGACTCCTAACACTCCCTTCACCTACCTGTGTAAAAATGATCACACTGTAAGTTGCTCTGGATAAAAGCGTTTGCCAAATGCCATAAATGTAGTTTGTAAAGGCTTTTAGCCATCGAACATTATGACAGTTATAACGTGACACTGTTATAGTTAAGCAGTAGAACCCGAGAGGGAGTGTGTTATCTCGAAATAACATCACGGCTGTGATTTGGTCGCCGTAGATCATCACAGCCGTGATGTTATTGGCGATAACACACTCCTCGAGTGTTCTATTGCTTTAATACAACAGTTAAATAAATAAAGTAATAAATTAATAAACTGGGCCGTGAACGCCGCGTTTAATATGTTTTAATGTTCGCAGTTCCTTTACCAAATTATAGTTCCTTAACGAGCAGCTTGTTGCTACGTCAGAGTAACGAGCTCCGCCCACTCGCTGCACAGTCTGCTGTAAGCTTCGCCTTCTGAAGTGCAGACTGAGCCATAAAACTGCCGCAATATCAAGTTCAGCTCAGTTTTGTCATTTTTTGCCAGATAAGTATTAATGTTGTTTTGTTCCAGCCAGTCTGTAAAGCATCTTACAGCCCATTTAGTTTGGCGAATGGTGTTTGGTTCATTTCTGGCTGATTCCAGGTTGTTTAGCTGTTCTTCTGTCACAGCTGCTGACTGAAAAGATGCTCAGTGGTGATGATAGTTTGGGAATTTAGTGTCGTCTCATCTTCAGAGTCTGACCAAATCGGCTGTCGGTCAAATGTGATCTTAAAAGTGTCCATTTTCTGTTTGTGGCAAAGTAAGAAGTAAAAACGTTCAAATGTCTTGAGCGTCTCCTACACCTGTCAAAGTCGTTGCTTAGCAACGGTGTCTCAGCGGAGTGATACAGTGTTTGTGAAAAAAACGTGATGTTATGGTGAAATAACAGCACAGTTAGAACGCTTCTCAACCAATCAGCTTGCATGGCCGTAACTAACTGTTGTATACTAATGGACGACCCATGACCAATGTTTACGGTACTGTAAGTGTCAGGTAGCAGGATTAAATAAAGTGTTACTAAGCTGCTGTGAATTTTGGACCAATAAGGAAATAGTTTCGGAAAATCTGAGGAGCGTCTAGCTGCAGAACCGCAGTACCACACTCTCAGCCCTGCACGGTCAGCTCTGGACACGATGTCACATAAAGGTCATCAGACTTGCCACTTGTAACATGGAGAGTGCAGGAGATGTAGGTACTGATGCCTATTACGGCATAATGTTTAAGAAACTATTTCACCAAGAACTGTTAAGGCATAAAATGGTTCTATGTAGAACTCATAGTTCTATGTAGAACCATTTCCTTTACTAAGAACCCTTGAAGAACCTTTTAAGAGTGTATGGGTTCAAAACACCAGTAAAATAGGCCATAAAGATGTATACCAGCAAGCTAATAAACACTCATTTCACTACCTCGGTATTCTCTTTATCAGTCACAAGAACCACTTAAATGCGCATGATAGATTAGCAACTGCAATTCTGATATGAACCACTAGAGGCGTATTTGTAAGGAGCTGATAGTGCAGGTCTGAAACCGTGGTACTGTGGGCCTGCAGTTGGATACTACTGGAAAATCTGAAAGCATCCAATGTTTAATAATTTAGTTATTGAGAATGGCATGTAGCTGATGTTCTACAGCAGGGGTTCTCAACCTCTTCCACCCCAAGGCCCACCTGTCTACAACTACAAAGCAAAGCGGCCCACAGAAAGACTAAAATCAACTTTTTGTTCAAAAAAAAAAAAAGAATAGAAATGTACAGGGTAGATGTGGATCGTGATTTGGAGCTGCAGTCCATGTGCCAAAATCAAACACATCTATTCACTGTTTTATGAAAGTCTGTGAAGAATCAAACGTTGAACAGGCAGATTGTGCTGACAGTTCCTGCAGCTAGAAGAGAAAAATGAGCTCTATTGATTAATGCCCACGTTTCATCAGAGAACATACACCGATCAGGCATAACATTCTGACCACCTGCTTGTTTCTACGCTCATTGTCCATTTTATCAGCTCCACTTACTATATAGGTGCACTTTGTAGTTCTACAGTTACAGACTGTAGTCCATCTGTTTCTCTCCATACTTTGTTAGCCCCCTTTTACCCTGTTCTTCAGTGGTCAGGACCCCCATGGACCCTCACAGAGCAGGTACTATTTGGGTGGTGGATCATTCTCAGCCCTGCAGTAACACTGACGTGGTGGTGGTGTGTTAGTGTGTGTTGCGCTGGTCTGAGTGGATCAGACACAGCAGTGCTGCTAGAGTTTAACACTGTGTCCACTCACTGTCCACTCTATTAGACACTCCTACCTTGTCAGTCCACCTTGTAGTTGTAAAGTCAGAGACGATAGCTCATCTGCTGCTACACAGTTTGTGTTGGTCATCCTCTAGTCCTTCATCAGTGGTCACAGGACGCTGCCCACAGGACGCTGTTGGCTGGATATTTTTGGTTGGTGGACAATTCTCAGTCCAGCAGTGACACTGAGGTGTTTAAAAACTCCAGCAGCACTGCTGTGTCTGATCAACTCAGACCAGCACAACACACACTAACACACCACCACCACGTCAGTGTTACTGCGGTGCTGAGAATGATCCACCACCCCCAATAGTACCTGCTCTGTGAGGGTCCATGGGGGTCCTGACCACTGAAGAACAGGGTAAAAGGGGGCTAACAAAGTATCAGAGAAACAGATGGACTACAGTCTGTAACTGTAGAACTACAAAGTGCACCTATATACTAAGTGGAGCTGATAAAATGGACAGTGAGCGTAGAAACAAGGAGGTGGTCATCATGTTATGCCCGGTGTATATGGGTTATGATTTGATAACTTTGATTGTTCGACTTTTCATTGTTAAGCTAATCTTTTCCTGCTTTTATGACTTCGAACTTCGACTACGAACTACTGCCTCCCCCTGTGAACAGACCCTAGGACCGATACAGTGTGCTTCATGGCCCACTGGTTGAGGAAACCCTGATCTACAGAATGTATCTAAAAAGTGGCTCCTATTGATGTAAAATCAAATGACATCACATTCTGCTGTAACGGGGCACTTTTTGGATTAAACTGCGCCAGTGAGGATCTCAGTATTCACAGCAATGATACACGATGAGGTCCAAAAATAATATATCTGCCTAAAGGAGACAGTATTTCATAGTGGTTAGCTTTAATTATACCACTCACTGTGGCTCGACGGTGCCGTCTTGCACTCGCTGTGGTTTGACAAATAGAGTTCCTCAGTACGGAGACTCCTTTAGACATTCGATTAAAAGCTAACTCTTCTTTTCTTCTTCCAGGAAACCAAAATCAACTGTGTGCGACTGGCTACCAAAGGTATGAGACCTCTTTTCACTCACTCCACACTTTGACCTGTTTTTATGAAGACAAATGATGGATTTGTTAACCTTTAATGTGATGAGTTCAGGTGGGAAAGTGGGTGTAGAACATTTAGCTGCAGATTATTTGAGCCCGTCATGTAGCATGTCATATTAAATAAGGAGCACCATGCCATAGGACAGGGGCATGGCTTTGGTAATGTATTAATTGTTTGCACCATCTACACTCCTAAAGATGGTTCTTCAAGGGTTCTTTAGTAAAGACAGTGGTTCTATATCGTACCATTAACACTCAAAAAAAGCATTTGTATGCTTAAATGGTTCTCTGCATGGTGAAATGTTCTTCAGATTGATGGAGAATGTGTCGTATATGGTTCTATACAGAACATTTTTGAAAATGGTTGTATACAGCACCAAAAAGGGTTCTGCTGTTGTTACAAAGACAATCTTGTAACAATAGAAGAACCCTTTTTTGGTTCTTCAAGGGTTCAGTTTTTATATAGAACCTTTTTGAAAAAAGTTCTATATAGCACCAAAATGGGTTCTGCTGTGGTTATGAGCTTGTAACAACAGAAACAATAGAAAAAAAAATAAAAAATCAAAGGGTTCTATAGAGAACCATGTACAACACATTCTTAATCAATCTGAAGAACCATTTCACAATGCAAAGAACCATTTAATCATGAAAGTATATAATTATATATATTGAATATTAACATGTGGGACTGCTAACGCAGTTAATATCTAGAACATGTTGGGCAGTGTAGTTTAGTTGGACTGATTGCAACTCAGAATGAGATGGAGAATGAGTTGTATATAGTTCTATATAGAACCTTTTATAGCACCAAAAAAGCTTCTGCTATTGTTACGATGTCAAGCTTTTATACAATAGAAGAACCCTTTTTGGTGCTATGTAGAACCATATGCAATATATTCTCCATCAATCTGAAGAACTATTTAAGCAAGCAAATGCTTCTTTGAGTGTTCACGGTTCTATATAGAACCACTGCCTTTACTGAAGAACCATCTTTAAGAGTGTAGCTGAGGATTTTGCTCAAAAAGAAGTTCTAAGTTCACAGTCAGTCACGTTCATCACAACACAAAGGCTGCAACAGCCCCAAAGGAATGAATTGAAACTTAAATCTCATCTTTGATCTTTGTTTTATCTGCATGAAAATCAGCCTCCTGTTAATTGTTTTTCTGTTTTTTTTAATATAGTTCATTTTCTGTTAACTTTGTTAAGCATCATTTTACAGATCAGTGATATTAAAAGACTCCATTACCTAACGGGCATCAAAAATAAAACAAAATCACCACAATTTGTTATGATTTGCTTTGCTTTTATGTTTTCTTTGTTTAATTTGCTGCTAATCCATTTTAACCGGAAGCTTATGTTTGCGCCCAGCTGATAGCGTACCTGTTTGTTTTTGATTTGCACCCATTCACTTTCCGTTCATGTCATCCATTCGTTCTAATTAGCATGCATTTTCTCTTGTTTCTCCATCCCTTTCAGTACATTCTGATTTGGGTTCTTCCTGTGATCTCTAAGGAACCTGTTTTGGTTGTGTTTTGGTTTGGAAAAGACATGCTTTCAACTTTGTGGCTTAACTGAGAATGAGAAAGTGTGTTATAACTAAAACTGAGCTCATCATAACTCTGAAGCAAATTGTGAAGACTTATCAAAAGGTCTGTAGTCACCTGCTGATACAGTACTGTACAGAAGTCAGACCAGCTTTCATTCAACTGATTTCCAGTCAAAATGGCCATTAAGTACAAGCTATTCATTTTTAGTATATTAGATATAAGATAATCCACTTGCATAAGGAAGGAAAAGTCAAAGACATACATTATGACCCCATGTTGTGTCTGTGGGGTCAGTAACGTGTGGCATTAAACACTGAACTGGTGATGACGCGGTAAAAGCTTGAGGAAGGTCCAACAGAGCTTTTAAGGTTATTTTATTCAAATAAGCCACAATAAAAAGCTGCGCTATGATATCTAGTACCACACTTGAAGAATCAAACTGGACCAAAGAAAAGGACAAAACAGGACCTAACCATGCTTGTCTACTCTGAACCTACAAAGGAAACAACAGCTACTCTACACTTCCCTGGCCTGTAATCAGATAGTAGAGATAGTCAAGTCAAGGTTTATTTATGTAGCACTTTTTACAACATGTGTTGTCAAAAAACTGCTTAACAGAAAAATCCGGGTCTGAGCCCCCATGAGTGTCGCTAATGGCAACAGTGGCAGGAAAAACTCCCTAAGAGCAAGAGGAAGAAACACTGAGAGGAACCAGGACTCAAAAGGGGAACCCATCCTCCTCTGGAACACACCGGATAGCAAACAGTAACACAAGAGCAAAATGAACAGAGGATAAGGTTTTAACATTAGTATAAAATATTAAAATACAGAAACAGGGAAAAGCAGGTGAAGCAATGGTTATGAATAAATAAATAATAACAATATATAATCAAACAATCTCTTGTAAAGTTAGAAATGTGCAGGTAAAATACCAAAACCAACGTACTCCCCCAACACACGAGACAAATTCTTGAGAACTAAGTTAAAATAAGTGCTGGTAAAATACCTAAAACAAAATCACACTCCAAACACACGAGATTAAAAACACAAACTAAAACACAGCACACGTGTGATCAGTCCTCTCCCTTCAGCCACCTTAAATACCTCCTTTTAGGGCTTTGGCTCTGTCCCCGGCTACACCAGCCAGGCCTCTGATTGGTCACTGGTCCTCCTCACGTGACTGATGGCAAAGCAGGTACACCTGTGAAAGGAGAGAGAAAAACACACACGATACATGCTTACACATAACGCAGGGGTTTCTGGAAACTGTAGTTCAAAAACTGATTAAAAGCTGCAGAAAAATGAGGCTCCTGACAACCACCTGGAAGAGCTGATAGACCCCAAAACTGCCCCCATTAGATAAACAGCACTCAAAGCTTTTATCTTTGAGAGAGAGGAGAGGCCTTTACTGAGAAAAGGGAATAAACAAAAAAGAAGAAAGTTAATTAATTAGATTATGAGAAGCAGAAAATGCTAAACCAACTTCTAAGACTGAACTTTGGAGGTGTGTCTGCAGATTCTTTGAGGAGCTGAAAGAGAGACTCCTGAACAGAATGGAAGCTGGAATAAAGGGAGAGAGTGACTCACTGAACACTGAATTTTTTTGATATTATGTTTGGATTTTACTCTGTTAAATATATTTTCTGCTGAAAAATAAATAACTTCTAAAATAAAAATAAATAACTTCTAAAATAAAAATAAATAACTTCCATATAATGGCCATTTTGACTGGAAATTCAAGGGTCTCTGACTTTCACACAGTACTGTGGATCTAGGTTTGCATGAAAATGATGAAAATGAAAAATACTGTCTTTGCCACAAAGTTCAAACACATTTCTCTTCTTTTCTGTTCATTTTCTGTTATTTAATTTTCCACTCATTGTCAATAGATATTACTAAGGTTTCCTACCCAAAGTAAATTCCCTCTACATATTCATCAAATATTAATCTTTAAGAAAAATAGAATATGTTCCTCTAAATTAGACCTCAGAATTTCTTTCCCTTCTTGGTTCCGTTTTTGTCCAGAACCTTCTGGAATGAATAGCCATTTAAATGACTACCTTTACACGTAGACTCTGTGTAAACATGTACGTATGTATATATCCAGAATGTTCCACTGTATAGCAAAGTTCTGAAGAACTTACAGGCACTGAGAGCTGAAGGCGTATTTCTTTAGACTATTTTTTCTTTCTTTCTTTTCTCATGCATGCCGACCTGGAACGTAAAACCTTGTCTTAGTGGTAATAGGTAGGGGACAAAATACCACGCCCTACATACTTGTCATTCCCAGTGAAGGTGAATATTATACCATGGTCAAACTTTTTTCTTTCTTCTTGATTCTTTTCATCCACACTCTCTCCTTCCCACCTCTTCTTTTTTTTATTTTTCGTTTTGTTCATTCTGCTTTTCTTGGTCTACATCTTAATGCATCGGTTTGCATGTCTAGACCACAAAAAATGAAATGTAGCTGGTTGTCATTGACCTCATTCACACTGATGTTCTCTGGTACCCTTAAGATGTATGGTTCCCCCCTTACACATCTCAGTCTCTCTGCAGTTTGGAAAGATCATTTCTTGAGAAAACAAACCCTGACATCTTCTGTGGTTTTGCTCATGGCTTTGTTAAACTTGCGTAAAACAACAATAGACATGAAAGGTTCCTTCTAGCCCTGTTGTTTTAGCAGCAAATCAATGAATTTCAAATTAGAGAAGCACAATTTTACGATGAGAAGATGCTGAAAGCGACATGAAAACAAATTTCTGAACAATTCAAACAAACAAAGGAAAAGAGGCCTACAGTGTTAATTCACATTAAAAAGTGAAATCTTATCTTATACTTTGTTCTGTAGTGACCTACAGTACTGTGCAAAAGTCAGAGACCCCCTCTTCATTATTGAATTTCTAGTTTGTGAGTTCAGACCCTGCTTCAACATGGTGGTGGTAGTATGAGGGAAGACTGATTGGGGAGGGGGGAGAACTCGGAGAACTTGCGCTGGAGTTCTGGGTAGCTTCTGCCAGTAGCTAGACGGCCGGACCCCCTAATAGTGTTGTAGGACTGAGGAACAGGAAGGAGGTGGGTGGCGGTGGGAATGCAAACCCTTCGTCACATGAACAGAGGGTGAAGATATGAATTTATAGGGTGTTGGATTGGGTGAAGGAGGGGTTTCAGGCATGTTTATCTCTTTAAACTTCAGTTATAATATAACTACATTTGAAACAACCATTAAGCACAAGATATTAGTTTTTTGGAGGAGATGTATTCGTGAGGTTAGATATAAGAACCCACTTGCATAATGAAGGAAAAGTTCATTAAAATGGGGCTCCTGGGCTCCCGAGTGGCGCAACCGTCTAAGCGTTGTCCCTATCATCAGGAGATCGCGAGTTCGATCCATGGTGATGCTACAGCCGTCCGTAG